CAAAGATTGTTAGTAAGACCGATTCCAAACAACCTATATCCACTGTTTATACCCGATCTTCGATTTTTATAAGTTCATATGTTCAATTTGCTGGTAAACGTCCTCTGCTGCGCTTACCGGTCCGTGTTCTATACTTCTGGATCAATATGTTCTGTGCGCTATGTCATGTTTCTGATTCGTTGGGTGGCTTAAATTTAAAAAGGCTCTGTAATACTGTTCAAGATTATTATTAGACTTGTCTACTAAAGTCATTAGTGTGTAATTCACGTGACCTTCACCTTCAAAGTTGTGGTATCATGTCACTGATGTTTTAACCAATTACAGAGTCACCTGTGACGTAATTGTTACATTAAAGCACAATATAGTTGTGACAGACACGCGATAGAAAAAATAATTGAATGGAACTTGTAGCCTTTGCGGCTAGCTTTGTTAGCTTTGCGGTTTATTCTGGTATCATGTGGTTTTTCTTCCTAATTTAGGACTTGTGATGATTGGATTGCAGTGTCCGTGTCCGTAATTATACTTATCATCAGGTCGCCCATGTTCTCTTATGCTCCCTTACACAATCAAAAGACACATAAAACAGTAATAACACAAATTCGTCAAACCATTCTGCAATATTTTAAGATTTATTTATTTAATACTTCCTGCAAATGCATTGCTTAAGGCGGACTTAATACCATAGTTATTTTCTTCCAGTCAACCTTTGAGTGAGGCAGAGCTTTGTGTAGCAGGTGTATAGTATATATTATTTAACTATTAAATATGTACATAAATAATAACATTACTCAAAGACGGTTATTCTGATGACTCAGTCAACAAGTCTCCATAGACCTTGCGTACTCTAAGCTTAAAGTTGAATTGGCTGGTGAATACCCACCTGGTGGTGGACCATTAGAGGGAGGGCATTCCAGAGATTTACAACATGAACCACGAAGGCAGAATGAACTTTTTTTTTTTTTAAAAGACAACTGCCGCACTAGGAATAAATCCTGTGTGGAGACTTTACAAACGAACATACATGAAACGGACACAAAGAACACCCAGACTCAGAACAACAATTTGTGGATCACACAAAGTGTCGTCCCATGTAGGGACCGGACTCACAACACTCAGGGTAGTAGTAAGAGGCTTAAACCACTACGCTATCCGTGCAGTCAAATTATTAATATTGGAATTGTGAGAAGGACATGATTAAATACCCGTACAAATTTTCCAACAGATTGCTGAGTCATAGAATGAAATGAAATATTAGATTCACACATGAAGTCAGAGTCCTTCAATATAATTAATAAATATTGTACTTCGATACCTTATCTTCCCAGGGTCGCCACAGCCGACTGCTGACAGTACAAAGTTATAACGTACAAATAGTGCGTGAGATACATATATCAGACGTTTGTTGTCTATGAAGGGCTTTAAATAATTTAATACATGGCATTGACAATTAAAAATAATATATCAGGATTATTTGTGATGATGTCAGTCGTTATGTGTGAATGAGTTATATAGCTACACTCTCTAGGGGATCTTTATAGTAATTATAATAAACTCGCATATCGTACACACGGCCATGTCCCAAACAGAATTTGTACTATGGTAACAAGACTGCTGATAAACACACTTATGTATATGACTCCCAAACTGCATTTCGACACATTCTAGGACAAGATTTTACTTCGACAATATGGATCTTCATTTCAACAATACTTTAGTTGAAAATATCTTAAACACGACACTAACTGTACTCCGACAAATTGTTTCTTCGACATGACTTACAAGCAACATAATTCAATACAGAAATGAAATAAAAAATATTTAGTCTAGAAAAAAAAAGACTGTTTTTTTTAAGTACAATATTTTTTCTTTTATTCAGGAATTTCATTGTTTATCCGTGTTTGTTAGATTAAGAATACGCAGGGTCACCACCCCTATTCATCCCGTGGGTGTCGTAATAACCAACTAAGGGAGCAAACTACGCAGGACAACAGCACTGCAAAGAGAAGGAAAACTTGAAACAAACCCTATAACAACCCGTCTGGCCCAGCGAGGCCAGAACCTCCTTTCTAAGGAGTGGCCTATGTCCAGCAGTGCACTATCAAAAGCTTTCATTATTGTTATGATATACAACATATGATAAAAAACAAACACAAACCAACCAAACAAAAACCTAGAGAACTGCCTCTTCCTTTGATGTCTTTTAAATACATTAATAATGCCCTTTTTAATTCTTCGTACAGTTTAAACGTTCATTTCGTGAATATTACAAGAGTTAAATCTAGACTACCATACTTTACCCGTGTGAATAGTGTCCACCGGTGCAGCGGTGGAAGTAGTGCACCTGAGTTAAAAGATCTAAGCGATTTTCTTCACCTTAAGAGAAATCTACCCCACTCTTCCATTTATTTCCATACATTGTGGTGGGAGCGAGGATACACATCGGTATAAAAATAATGAATCAATATACTCAGGACTCTGTCAGAACTGGTACGCGCTATTCGTTATATCATGTCGATGCAGCAAAGCACTGTAAAATTCTCGCCTTAAGCATTACAAAGCACCGGTCCAGCCAGTTCCAGCACTAAACTCAATAGAATTAGAACAAAAGGCATTGTTATATTGCAAACGCATGATATACATCATCTGAGTTTACCTTACCTACTGATTAGACGTATTGAATATTATTTAATTTATTTTTTTCGGAAGTCTGACACACAACGTCATCTAGCTTCAAACTATGCAGAGCTTGTACTTGATTGATTGATAGAATACATATATAATTTTTTTGTAAATACATACATACAAAACACCTACAACGTTGCGATACAGTTCGTACTTATATTTTAAATGTGAAAGTGATTTTGTTTGTTTGTTACGCCTAAACCACTAAACTGATTTTTAAAAAATATTTCACCAATTTAAAGCTATCTTATCAGAGAGTAACATACGCTACTTTTTACTGCGAAAACCATTATACACGCGAGCGGGAGCTACGGGCAAAAGTTAGTATAAAATAAATGGATAAAATTCAAATACAACAAAAATTTAATTCTGACATCGCTTCAGCTCCAACCTTGTACCACTTGCCACATTAATTTATTAACAGTAACAAACTTGATAGACCATCGCAAGCCTATTATTTGTCATACTGTCTTCGACTTACCACATTTAAAAGGTATTATTGGAAACAACTGAAATATAATACTGATACCAAACGATATGTCCTCAATGTCTATCATTTTAAATTACTAAGTACTTTTGCTTGGTAATTTAAAGTAGAAATTTCAAAGTAACATTGAGTTACTGGAGAAGTTTTTTTTTAATTTGCCGTTATTATAAAATAATTACAAGGTAGTCCAAATTAAAAAATTACAAGGTGGAACCAGGTAGTGGTTAAGATCGCGTAAAGCCGTTGATGGGGGCAGCACATGAACGGTTGTTGTGGAAAGCTTTAGAGGAGGCCTATGTCCAGCAGTAGACGTCTCTCGGCTGAGATGATGATGATATGATAATTTAGCTATTGTTATAATATCTCGACCAAAGTGATACCACGGCCGCAGAAAACCGGAGTCAAGCTATTTTTTTCATTGCTTTTTACCGAGTGAGAAACATACTACAGCGCCATCTAACTAAGACACACCGAACTACGTAGTAACTCGTGAATGAGAATCGCTAATCCTGTATCACGATATGAAAAATTATCTCGCCGATTAGCGTTTATACAACTACCCAACATCAACGGTTGGGGCGCGGCCCGCCAGGCATGATCACCTGGCCTGGTCGGAGGATCCTCCCTTTGTGTTGGAGGGACATGACACCCGTTCCTCCACAGTGGAAACGCACTTGTAACTCTTGAGCTGCAGGTGTACATGGGCGGCGGTAGTCACTTACCATCAGGTGATCCGTCTGCTCGTTTGCTCCTAGGTACACCATAAAAACTAGGTATATGTATATTGTTTATACATGCATACCTTCTCGAAGGGGTCATATTTTTCGAGTTCACTTTTCGAGTAAGTTACTATAGTTAGTATTGGGTTTATTCCCAGTCGTTCCATGACCCAGTTCTGCATGGCACTGATATGGCCTTAGAAATGCTATTTTTGTACCATTTGTTGCATGTAATTTTATACTACTTTTACAGCTGACTGGTGTCACCCACCGTAGAGATTGAATCAGTTATCGATATTACTAATATTGACAGGTTGCTTGATGCCTGTATGCGATCGGTAAAAACAAACGAAGATCACATTGGCATCACCTTGCGCCTATTTTTGTATTTTATCATGTGTATGTGATAACTACTGAAAAATAGGTGCAAACAATTTTAGACCTTATCAACTTTCATGGTATTTAATTTCTTTTTTTATATTAGTCAGCGTCGTTTATAGACCCCAAAAACATGTTTTAAAGAAAATGTCATTAAGGTAGAAAATTTATTGCAACTGTTTTTTTTATCTGTGGGATGTTTTGACTACCATAAAAGTAGGTGCCAGATGATCATGACCAGATCTTCGCTTGTTTTTACTGATTTTCATCTAAAAAAGAGGGGTATATCTAGTGTCATTTCAATGGTGCAGATGAAACCATACTATCCATACGGTTTTGTTTTCACCATTAATGGTACAGTCGAAATTAATCAGTCTCTTCTATACCAATGATGGTGCACGTCAATGGTGCATGCGATAATTGCGTATTTTTATGTAGCACAAGAAAACAAGGAAAAGGGTTTTGTCTTATAATACAACAAGCTACGTAACTGGAATTTCAGAGAACTATTGGGGATAATTCTCAGCTTCAAATAGCGAGTCCCACTAGTTCCATGTATGGAACTAGTTCTATATATGAAATATATGCAAAAGTTCCACGTGGAACTGGCTTAATGAAACTACTGGGAATAAACCTAGTATTCGTGTAAACGTGATTAAATTATTATTTCTTCTTGCAGGTGTCTCATAATAATTTTTTAAAGATGTCTGCGCTGCACGGTAATGACGTTCAGAATGGATCGCTCCAGGCTCTCCCCCTCTACGCCTAGTAGCCGTGGTATGGACAAGTACGAGCAGTTGGCGGTGGTTAGTTCCTTCAGAATTGTAGCAATTATTTTAGGGGCAATTTTATCATAACCAGTTAGTTAGCTTAAGGTAGGATTAGGAATTCACCAATGGCGAATTCGACAAGATCATAAATATTCCAAAGTCTTCGATGTCAGATCTTTTGCCGGAAAAAGTAAGAAAATTGACTTCAAGCAAGGAGGGCTTTAAAATTTTGCATGCTGATTGTTGCACATAGCTTCTTGTCTTGCGTAATCTTGGGCGGATCGTTAATCTCATTGTGGACGCAGTATGGCTCCACATGTAACAGTATGGGTTTTACTAGGTTTAATTTTCTATGCTCACCTCACCAGGTAGCTTCAGTGAAGTATCACCTATTGAAGCATACACAATAAGAAGGAAGACTTGACACAAACCTTATACCACCCCGTCTGGCCAGCGTGGTATGGTAGGCCAAAACCTACTTTGTAAGGGGAGGCTTATGTCCAGCAGTGGGTTATTAAAGGCTGTTAATAATGATGTGATAAGAACTTATCTCCGTGATTTAAATGCGAAGTTTTGTTGTTGTTACACTTAAGAGTTTATTAACCCTATATTTGATAGAATTTTAACGAGAGATTTATCAATTTATTTTCTGTTACAAAATTTGCTTAAATTATAGCTTGTATCAGCCGGTGTCAGGCTGAGCCAATGGAACTTCTGAGAATGTTTCTGATATTATACTACGTAATCATTGTAGCTACGTAGTTAATTTTCATTTTAAACCAACCACGAACAGCTTTTATCTACTAAAATGTATTAACTTTTATTGGCTTATTAATATTCTGATTCGTCGGGAATCTTAGGGCAAAACTTATCGCAAATAACCCCAGAATTTTACTGATTCTTCGGCATTATGGGGTCATTTATCCAAATTTTTCTGTTGAGCGACATGCTATTATTAATGGGTGGAGTCCGACATCTGTTGCATTTAAATTAAAATCAATTGATGCTTCTGTGTTTGACGCTTCATGCTATCGGGATGATTCGATTGTCTGGGTTGAGCATTGTCCGAAACAAACTGGTTGAACCTGGAATTTTGATTGACATTTATACCACGTGTGTTTGTAGTTTAAATGATAATTTCTAAACCTAATAATGTATTGACAAATATAATAATCTACGATCAGGCTACGATCGACTCTCCTGTTTGTGATATTAATGCCTCAGTAAATAGCCAACCACATTTAATCAACATTTCGTAGACTTGACTCGATCTTGATGGATTTATGGAAACGTACACTTAAATAAACACTCACGCCTTATTCCCTTTGGGAGTAGTCAGAGACGATGCACTATTATATCGAAATATTTGTATACCCTTTTAGAATTGAAAATATCTTGTAAGAGGAAAAGATACTTATAGGATTAATACTGTTCCCGAGGGGTGAGAAAACGACTAATCCCAAGTGTAGACTAAGCGACTAATCCTTTAATTTCTATAATAAGTGGTCATAATTAGGTATATGTGTGTGTGCGTGAGTGTTGTAAATACTTCAGTAATGTACAGTTATAACCCTTTTTACGAGTATATTAGACCCGCATTAAATCTGTCTACTAACAAGGTAATTTAGTTTAGTATTACAGTTTTTCATCTTATAATATAAAAGTACATTTATAGGTGGGGGAAGGCTCCTACGGCGTTGTACTAAAATGTCGACGCCGAGACACGGGCCAACTCGTCGCCATCAAAAAGTTCCTAGAAACAGAAGAAGATGCGGCCGTCAGGAAGATGGCCTTGAGAGAAATACGAATGCTAAAGGTATTATGAACCTTTTTTATAGTGCACTATATACAGAGGCTTCATCGCATAACGAACGATATTTAGGTTAACAATACCACAAAAAAATATCACAGCATCCATAAAACAGAAAAATCTAATCACATTTTTTAAAATATTTACCTATGCTAATAATATAAAGTTAATGAACAGGACAGAGTAGGATTAACCTTAAAACATTCAGTTATTTAAGTTTAGACCTATTCAAAGATCATTAAATAATTAATGAAGAATCCATCAGCAATAGTTCATGTGCAATTCTTTCCAGAAACTCCGACATGACCACTTAGTAAATATGATTGAAGTGTTCCGTCGTAAGCGGCGGTTCTACCTGGTATTTGAATACCTGGACCATACGCTGCTGGACGAACTTGAGGCGTCTACCGGTGGACTCGGGGAAGATACTGCGAAGAAACATTTGTACCAGCTTTTGAAAGGAATCGATTACTGTCATCAAAATTCAGTGAGTTTTTCTTATTTATAGTAATGCACCTTCATTCTGGTAAACGTGTTCGAGGTCATAAAATTGTATTAAAAACTTAAAATTGATTAAATTAGGGTTCCCCTGATGGCAAATGACCACCTCCGCTCATGGACACCATGGAATGGTAATTTGCTGTAATGTAATACCGTAACATATTCCCAATTACAGATAATCCACCGTGACGTTAAGCCAGAAAACGTTTTGGTCTCCAATAACGGCATAGTGAAGTTGTGTGATCTTGGGTTTGCACGAGCACTTGCAGCGCCTGGTGAACCTTACACAGAATACGTTGCAACTAGATGGTATCGCGCACCAGAACTGCTAGTTGCCGAACATAGGTCAGTTGGACTTAGTGGTACAGTAGCTTACTTCTAAATGTGAGTTGAAGATGATAGAAAATAATTGGTCTCCTGGTATATTCACGGGTTCTAACTGTATCTGATCTCCATAGCAAGGCCAAGTATAAAATAATTTTTAGGTAAACGGTAAGCGGTAAACAAAAACATGATGACTGGTACAAAGTTAAAGATAGATTTAAACCAGAAAAATCTATATTAAAATTATAAAGCTGAAGACTTAGTATAAGTAAGAGTAAGACTTAGTATAGTTCGTTTGGTTGAACTTACTAATCGCAGGAACTACTATTTCGAATTGAAAAGTTATTTTAATGTTGGATAGCCCATTTATCGAGGGAGGGCTATAAGGGACGCCACTACGACCAATAAGAGACAAGTATTTTTTTTATGGAATAGTGGGCAAACGAACAGACTGGTTACCTGACGGAAAGCGACCACCGCCGCCCATGAACGCCTGCAACTCAGGAGTCACAAGCGCGTTGCCAGCATTTGAAGAAGGAGTACGCTCTTTTCTTGAAGGTTTGAAGGTCGTATCGGTCCGGAAATACCGCAGACAAGAACTTGTTCCACAAATTGGTAGTGCTAGGCAAAAAGTGTCTTGAAAAGCGCACAGTAGTGGAGGGCCAATTATCCAAGTGGTAATAAATGTAAAGTGTTGCAAAAACACGGTAAATTTCTTCTGAGAGATCCCGAGGAAGTTGCACGTATCAGCCTGTTTAATATAATTTGCAAAAATAATATGAAAATGTCGAATTGAGTAAAATTAGGAACAAACTTGATTTTAGGTATGGTCCAGAGGTCGATATTTGGGCAATGGGGTGTCTCTTTGCGGAGATGCTCACTGGTGACCCACTATTCCCTGGAGACTCTGACATTGACCAACTCGCGCTCATTATAAAAACTGTTGGTGAGTTATACATAAATACAAAATATAGTTATTCCTGTGTTACTATCATCTTACATATAAAATTCTCGTGTCACAATGTTCGTTCCCGTACTCCTCCGAAACGGCTTGACCGATTCTCATGAAATTTTGTGTGCATATCGGGTAGGTCTGAGAATCGTCCAACATCTATTTTTCATACCCCTAAATGGTAAGGGTGACCCATCCCTATTTTTTTTTGTTTTGCAATACAACGTTTGCCGGGTCAGCTAGTTATGGTATAATTAAGACTGCACGGATGGCGTAGTGGTTGCCACGCCGCTTACATCTACGCTGAGTGTTGTGGGTCCGATCCCCACATGTGACGACACTTTGTGTAATCCACAAATTGTTGTTCTGAGTCTGAGTGTTCTTTGTTTCCGTTTCATGTATGTTTGTAAAGTCCCCGGCGACACAGGATATATTCCTAATGCGAGCGTTGTCTTTAAAAAATATAAATTAATACACGGCTACAATCGCTAAATACACATGACTGATAATTTGTTGATTTCTTAAAAAAAAACTTCTAAAAGTTCTAAAATTAGATCTTTTGATTATTCGGTACAATGTTACATGAAATGTTTGAATTTATTTAAGTGTTTTTACGTTCATTTTCAATCGTCATTCTTGTCATAATATTGGTTTTATAGTTTCTTATTTATAGTTATTTAAGACATAATCAAAATCATTTAAACAATTCGTAAGTTTTATCAGGAGTCCAAATCAGAAGCACTGACACGCCTATTGCAATCAACCGGTCTGGATATTATCTGTATATGTAGTCTATATAATATGTAAAATTATGCAAGTTTTTAGGGGTACCGGGCAGGGGTCCAACTACTCTGTTCAATTTGTTTTACCGAAAGTTATTTAAAAACTACCGATATTCAAAATTAGTAATTTAGTTCCTCATAACCTCAGTAATTTTTTAAATCGACTTAGAGACACTGTTCGTAGTTTTCCAAGTATTCACTGTGCGAGTACCGGGTTCATTGTGTGATAAATGAGGCAACACCGCGATGGCGATTAGGACTTGCAACACAGTTGTAATCTTTGGGAATACTCCTATCCACTCCTGTCTACCCACTCTACCTAACAAGAAAACCCAAAAACAGTCTGCATTTGAGGGTTATAAAATAAATTTGTAATAAAGTTAAAAAAATTGGACCACGCGACTATGAGAGGGTGTCGTTCGTTCAACTTCTGAAATATTTAGACCACAAACCCTAGTAAAGCCGTAGTCCAACTAGTTGAACAGAGCAGTTGGACTACTGCCCCGTACCCGTTTTTGGCCTATCAACAACCTGACATACACAGACTAATGTCAATGTTCATTTAAAGTTTACTAGAAAAGCAATAAGATAATAGCTATTTACCAATTTACTATTTTCAGGTAAGTTAGCACCACGACATCAACAAGTTGTCGCCCGATTAGCAGGCGGTGCTGCCCTAAGTGGGGCGGTCACGGCCCGCGCTTCTTTACCAGGGACTGGATTAACAAGAGATTTCCTAGCAGCCTGTCTACGAACGGAACCTAGAGCGAGACCTTCAGCGCAGACGTTACTTAGACACAAGTGAGAAATATCACTTGGTAACACAGTTGAGAATGAGAACGTGGGGCCTGGTGTGAGTTCATTTTACGTCAACTCGATGACGATCAAGTAGACGTGATCGCAACGCCAAAGGCGATCACACTAGGCCCTTTGCTCGTTGAACAAGAGGGGAAAAGCAAGGTTATAACATTTTATCTCTGGTTTCAGATATTTCATAGCTGATGGCTTTGCGGAAAACTTCAATGCGGAACTTAGAAAAAAGTTAGGCAAAGAAATTGTGGTAATTCTCTGGTTTTCTTTTCAATGTTTTTTTTCTACAAAATAAATCCCTGCAAGGCAGTAAAATTTTTGTTACGAAAAGTATACTTTAAGTAATTTGAGTATTTTACAGCCTTTATCAAATTTTTGCCACATCTTAAACGTTGAATGAATTTACTTGAATGTAATTTATCGAACTTGAAATATGATTTCATTTAATTAATGATATTTAAAATTAGGTTTACGGGAATTAACGTGCTCACGATACGTATTAATTACATATCTATGAATTGCCTGACATTTCAATCAGGTTACACTGAGCCTTGTCACAGGCCAACTAGTGCAGCGGTGCGCGCCCTCCGCCGTCGAATGCGTAAGGTAGAAGTTACTTCATCCATCTGCACTTCTTCGATATTAATACCAATCGTGAACGCGTTAATTCCCGTAAACGTCCATACTTTATAAAACAAAAAAAAATGTAAAAGCGAGTTTGTTTGTTTGTTACGCTTTCACGCCCAAACTTCCCATCAATAGCCTTTACGAGTCAACTGCTGGACATAGGTGTCTCCTCAGAAAGGAGGTATTGGCCTACTATACCACGCTGGCCAGATGGGTTGGTATAGGGTTTGTTTCAAGTTTTCCTTCTCTTTGCAGTGTGGTTTTTTCCCTTAGTCGGCTCTTACGACACCCTCGGGATGAATAGGGGTGGTGACACTCTGTATTCTTAATCCGTCACCACACAGAGAAACCACTAAACCGATTTTGAAAATTCTTTCACCAATGGAAAGCTACATTATCAGCGAGTTACACGGGCTACTTTTTAACGTGATAACCGATACACACGTGGTCAAAAGCTTATGTAATATACATAGTACATGATACGTAGTTTAAAAGTGAAAATTTTAGCCATTAACAAATAGACTGTTCATTGTACAGACACCTCCATCACATCAGAGCACAGCTCGGCTTACCAGCAAACAACGTCAGCAGTGGACTTTAAACATAATACCGGTAAGCTTTCTGATAATGTAGTTATTGTATTGTAGATTTGAAATTTTGACATCTCCAATCGGTTCTATCCCTTGGCGTTATGTACGTAGAGATGTGGCTTCACTCTGCATTCTCTGTCGCATATATCATGGAGAGTGCTCCGAGGAATTGTTCGGACTAACACCAGCACGTAACTTTCCGTCATCGTTCCACTCGGCAAAATTTTCATCCTCCTCCCCTGGATAGTTGGCGTTCCACTCTCACTCTCCGCTTTTCGAGACACATTTTACCCCGCACGTCACGATTTTGCAGACGTTCATGGTCGGCGATGGCCACTTTCCATCAGGTGACAGGTCTGCTCGTGTGCCCCTCTAACATAATAAAAAAAAACACTGCAAGGCGGCTGATGGTGGCTATGTCAAACCTAACTGACTAAAGCTGCTCGGGTTTCATTCACAGAGCCTGTTGCCGGGGTCGAGATAATCCCTTAAAATTATTAGTCCTAAGCTATTATATTGACGGGCCCATTGACGCGGTTTTGTTTGTTTCCGCACCAGGACAAGTAATATTCATGAATTTAGAAATATTTAAGTATGTTTATCAGCAGTTTCTCATTTACTTGACAGGACAACACCAGATCTAGAACGGACAGTATAGCCGGAGAATCTCTAATCGATTATCATTACACACCAAGTACGTATTAATTATTTCTGTTTCACTGGGTAAGGGAATAGGCGATTTTCTTCCAACTTACTTGATGATAAGTAACAATAAAGACGAAGATTAAATATGCCTATAATTTTATAAACTGATTCACTTTACAATGGTGCTAATTCGTGTTTGGTCCTGTCAAACAACGTTTCCAGTTCTGTCAAAACGTAGTATTTGACAGGACAAAAATATTTTTTAGTGATTCTTAGTTTAGTTTAGAGAGTTTCCAAACAACAGAATTAGCAGCAATATCTCAGGATTATAATTGTCTAGGAAAATAAAGCCGACAGTTAATTCCAGGCTTTTACGACTCCAGCCATAAAGGAACTGTCAACATTTAATTGAACTTTTTTGAGAATTATACTTAAATCTGTCTGTCATGTAATCAGCCCTTGTTATTTTTTTTTTCTGTGTTCCACAACCAACACCCATACTGTCCAAGTGATTTTAAAACCTTAATTAATCACGGTTATGTTTCTTTTGTGTTAGATTCAGAACATCAAATGGACATAAGCCCTCTGGATGCTAAGAAGCAACAATCGATAGCCGCAATCACTACAAACGAAGCAGTTGAGGTATTTGTATTCATAAATCGTTATAAAAATGTTACACACATTTAAAATAACATATTGACAAGAGCCACGAATAAAATTCACATGCATTTTATTATGTCAGCATACCCGCCCTAAAAGAAAATAAGAATCGGCTACAAAATTAGTTCTAGAACAAGATGAAAAAAAAAATAACTTTTGCAGTTTATTTAGAAAAAAAACTGACTTGGATGAAGCAACTCTCATCATCATCAACAGCCTTTAAAAGTTCACTGCTGAGCATAGGATTCTTCTTAGAAAAAAGGTTTTCGCCTAATATACCACGCCGGCCAGACGGGTTGGTATATTGATGATTGATGGTTGGTTTGTTCTAAGATTTCCTTCTCTTTGAAGTGCTTTTATCCTGCGTAGTTTGCTCCCTTAGTCGGCTCTTACGACACCCACGGGATGAATAGGGGTGGTGACACTCCGTATTTTTAATCCGTCACCACACGGACACGTAGCAATTCTGATTGTTATTTTTTGCCTTACGAGTGATCATTCTTGTAACTTGCAGCAGATGCCACCAACTTGTGCAGCGCTTCCACCGCCGACAGGTCGCAGTCACCCTCCACAACGAACACTCTCAAGAGCAATCAATGACGCTTTTCAAGTAAGCCTTACTAATCTATACAGTTAAAACTTCAAACAACAACCCTAAATGTCTTAAAAGGAAAACATTCTTTATTTTCTATGACTTAAAACATACATTAGTGCATCGTGCACCAGTCATACAAAATGATCGCGATTTGCCTTAGCATTTAATACAATGCTATGAACATTGTGTACAGTTTTTTTTTTTATATTTAGTGTATTCTTAAGTACACTACTGCGATGTAAATCTCTCACTTACTCGTAATTTAAGAGCCAAGCCCTTGTCGATGGAGCAATCGTCACTCCTCTTTATTTCTTGCGATCTGTTCGACCTTCTGATAGATCACGACTCCCACTTTCTCCTTCACTTGCTGTATGCATGTTGATCTAGGCCGTCCTGGTTTTTGTCATGTAAATATAAAGTTATTTTTAGTGCTGAGCATGTCGCCATTAGCAGGTAGGCTTTGCGAGCGTGGCAGGCACGGCTTGTATTCCAGTGCTGTGCTAGCCAACGCGCCGTCGGATCCGTTCTACCGAGCTTCGAAGCGTGGGTAGGGAGGAACGACTGTGTCACCTACCGATTGACTCAGATGCTTACCGGGCACGGTTGCTTCGGTGAGTATCTGAATCGAATTGGACGGGAGGCCACGGCACAATGCCACCATTACGGGTCCGACCGGGACTCCGCCCAGCACACGCTGGAGGACTGCCCTGCATGGGAGTCCAAACGTCGAGTCTTGGTCGGACAGATCGAACGAAACCTGTCACCGCCAGCATTAATCGCGGCAATGCTGGCAAGTGGCGAGGGATGGGCAGCCGCGGTCTCCTTCTGCGAGGACGTTATGCTCCAAAAGGAGGCCGCAGAGCGGGATCGGGAGAGGGCCGATCCCGCTCGAAGGAGGCGGCGAAGGGGACGCGGCAGAGATCGCTAACTCCCCAATCGCCGCCTAAGGGTCGCTGCGGCCACATCTTGGGGCGATGTGACCGCTGTAAACGACCCGAGACGGATGACACTCCGGTGCGGCCGGGGGGGTGTCGTCTAAGGCGGGACGCCGTTGCGCCCTTTACTCTGTAGAGCAGTGGGAGGCGCGATAGCGTCCTGCCCCCGGGGTGACTACGGTCACTCCGGGATGTGCCTCAGACATGACGTACGGCACGGAGGACTCCAGAAGTCGCCGATGCGTTCCTGGAGCTCCTCCCGACTGCCGAGGTAGGCCGCCGCGGGGTTTAGTGGGTAGACTGGTTCTCCGGGAGTCCCACACGCGCCCTGCGTTTCCCCAACGGAGGGTATGGTGCGAAAAGCATTCCCCGCGTGAAAAAAAAAAAAAATGGTAGGTAAGTGACGCAACTTAAGGTGGACATAACAGTTGTAGATTAAAAAACTCATTTATCTTTCTTGAAGGAAAATTTGAATATCCCTATAACATTCAATAGGAGTGGCGACTCCTATTGAATGTTTTAGGGATTCTAAATTATTATTACTTTTTAATCATCATCATCAATAGTCTCTAACGGTCCACTGTTGGACACTGGCCTCTCCTTAGGAAGGAGGTTTTGGCCTAGTTTTTAATACTCAACTCAAAATAATCCAACAAAAGCGTTTTGTAATCACATTTAAAAAACTGCTACTTTCCATTTTCAGACATTTCCTGTCCCCGTAAATACTTATCCTAGAACGCCGTATATCAAAAAGTAAGTGCTTAATTAAATAATATTTTAATATTGAATTATACAAAACAAATAATTGCATAAATGCTATTTTATAATTCAAGTCAATGATCTCGATAGCATCTTAAGAGGTCAAGGAGGATAGTAGGTAGAGGAAGAGGAGGAAAATTACAATAGTTAACGAAAATTGCTAAAGTTTGCCTAAAAATTATTATTTATTTTATTTTGTTTATTCAAAATAATAATATATAATAATATATTCTACCACATACACACAACGCCATTTAGTCCCAAACTAACAGAGCTTGTACTATGGGTACTAGACAACTGATATAAATACATATATACTTTTTTTTGTATATACATACATATTATAATAAACAATGTTCATGCACACAAATGTTTGACTTGAGCGGGAATCGAACCCGCGACCTTTGGAATAGCAGTCCGTTACACAAACCACTACGCCATCCAGTCGTCTTGATGATGATGAAAATGTTTTGATGCTATATTTTTTTTCATCAGACATATCAGGAACGATTTAACTGTAAATAAGTCAAATCATATTTGAATTATAGAAAAACCTAATTGAGCCCTCCTCCATGGGATACAGGGACACGGAGATGGATGTCTAGTATGAGAACGGTGACCGGGAGGGGTGCGGGCGTCAAGTGTTTTTTTTTCTTCGCGCGCCCACTACTTTTGAGGACTAAATTAAGTGGTTTATCTATAGTCTTTAGCTTTAATAAAATACTTAATATAACCTAACAAAATAAACTGACAGGGTAAATAACAAGCTGGTAATGGACGAAGAGTTATTACGTGGGCGTGCTGTTGCCAAGAAGAACAATAAGAAGACAGCACCGGAGTTATCATTACCATACGTACCTGGAGGTAAGTGGAGAACATTCATCAGCTCTTCTTTCACTGTTGTTGTATTTTATATATGCACCAGACGGCAGACGCTGTCGAATTTTAGTAAATTCTCTTGCAAAAAAATTCAAACTTGACAATAATTGAATCTACCAGTTTTCCTTCCAGCCATCCTTAGGCTTACTAACAAAAGAATTCATACTCGTATATGTACGTCACAGCTTCGTGATCCAGTAGCGTTCGACTGCACGGATGGCGTAGTGGTTTAAGCGGTCGCCACGCCGCTTCCTACTACGCCGAGTGCTGTGGGTTCAAACCCCACATGGGACGACACTTTGTGTGATCCACAAATTGTTGTTCTGTGTCTGGGTGTTCTTTGTGTCCGTTTCATGTATGTTTGTAAAGTCCCCCGCGACACAGGATATATTCCTAAAGCGTAAGTTGTCTTTTAAAAAAAGAAGAAAGATGCTGCAGAAGGATGCTTACATCACAAATGGGATATCAGTCTACTTGTTTATGTTTTTTTTCTGTTTATTACAGCGAGTAACAATCCTGTTAAAAAAGTCAAAAAACCTCATCACTTACACCAATCGATGTCTAAAGTCTACGATAGTTGGGACGGCACGGTGAGTTATGCGTTTATTTAGTCTCTATGTTTTTAACACGCTTTTATTAGCTTGGTATGTATGTATGTACCTATGTAACGGAATCTTCAAACGTGATATTGACCCATTTCAAAACGTCGAATTAACTTGAAACTTCGCACACATATCGAGGACCGATAACAATACAATAATTTGATAAATTTGGCCGATTATCCTGATCAGGACCTTGAATTGATGACCTTTAGAGATCAAAATTTGTTTACCAAAGATCATATCCATATTGTAATTTCTCAAAATTATGCAATTCTATTTGAAAATTGCCCTTAACTCTTGAGATAACCTTCAAGGTTGCGATCAAGATCAATTTCAAGGTCACCAATGGATAGCCAGGGAAAATTCCTGTAACTTGTGTGTTTAACGTATTTCCGAAAAATGCATCATCACACGAAAGCAAAATATTTAAAATACCTAATGGTTCCATGTAAAAGAAATACAGGAAAGCTGTGTGTGTGTGTATGAGTATATATTTATCATCATCATCATCAGCCTATACTAGTCCACTGCTGGACATAGAATATATATATATATTTATAAATATATATATTTTGTATTATACCTTCCCAACATTAACCGCATCACCCATCAACCGACTACGCTCGTATAAATATTTCTAACAAAGACTTCTTCATTGGAAACTTTGAATATAAAACTGACTAGAAGTTTGTTTTTTGCTTTTGATTGTTTTTTCTACTAATATAATATAATTATTTTTATATCCCACAGCGCAGCGGAATTGAACTAACTCAATCTTCGCGTACACCCACCAATCTGCCGTACATGTGACTGTACCGCGGCTACTGGTGGACGCACTACCAGTAACCGCCACCGAACTGCATTCCACAAAGTTACTCAACATTCTACAACTACCACAACCTTCTGCTGTTGATAACAGCCGGCATTTGTCAACTGTGAAAAGGGACAGTTACATTTAAATTAATCGTATTTGTTTAATTTTAATTTTGTAAATTATTTAACTTATAAAATTATGAATGTCGATTTAACTCACGATTAGTATAGGTTGATATTTTCAAATAGGAAAATGGCCAAGTTCGTTTGAAAATTGCCTATATATTATAATTAAAATATTGCTTATTTATTATTATTATGCTAGTTTCTTTCTTATTGTTATATCGTTATAAGAAAAAAAATTGAAATTAGTTCAAAAAAGTGTTATGCAAAATTAATATTTATGTTTAATAAAAAATGTGGAAGAACAAGATTGTTAACAGACAGATTTGCCAAAGGTTTTAGATTAAAGGATTTTCTTGTTTTGACGAGTTTAACCGTGCTCTCGCGAGATGGCGGTAAAAATGACAATATATATAAATTACATTTTATTACACGCGATATTAATAAACACTTTATAAAATTTGAATAAGCTTAATTATTTTGTAGTTTAACTACATATTAAATCCTTATTCTATATCCTTCTCAATCACACTTAACCAATGGAATTGGATTGTGGAAACTTTATATTAAAAAAAGTTCTGTATAGCACTGCCTTGCATCTTCTATGGATCCATATTATCCAGGCCCGGTCGACTATGTGTCAGTTACAACGCTCTTTTAGATACACCATTCTGTCAGGTATTTTAGGACACCTGTCAGGTATTTTACCTGACAGGTGTCCTAAAATACCAAGGATCAAGGATCTCAAAAATGCCAAGCCAATATCCGATGGGGGCCATAACGAGGGTGAGCGGTGTTTCTTTGTCTAATTGAATAGGTAAGATCTTCGGGCCGAGACCTGCTGGAATCTTCTTTTTGAGGCAATAAGAATGATTGATTGGTTTATTTATTGTTTATACGTGTTTTTTTAGGCTCCCGTACTATTCACATGAATTCAAATTTTAGTTAATTTAAGTGTTCTCTGTCGCTCTCTACTACGCCGAGTGTTGTGGGTCCGAACCCCACATGGGACGACAGTGTGATTTAAAAATGGTTGTTCCGAGTCTGGGTGTTCTCTGGGTATTCTTTGTGTCTGTTTCATGTATGTTTGAGTCCGCCGCGATACAGGATATATTCCTAATGACGGAGTGGTCTTTTTGTAAAGAAAAAAATGATTTTAGGGCCAGATAGGTTTCTTTTTGAAGAACATTATTAAGGAATAAATTAGAGTAGCCATAAATTAGATTAGACTAGACAGCCAGGAATAAATTAGACCATCGGTTTAGCTTGGATTAGAAAAAACCTTTCGCATTAAATTTCTAAATTCTTGAAGATATCAGAATCTGCTGTAATATATCAGATATATTACATCGGATTCTGGCCATAAACGCGGGGACCGGTAGTCTAATAAAAAAACGAAGAGTTTCTTTCATAATATTTTAATATTATTCTAGTTGGCAGTTAATGACTAAAGTACAATAATATCATAGATGTACACGTCACCTATATACGATACAAATGGCATACAAAATCGCTATAAAATAACAGCTTAACACGGAGACTCCGATTCTGGTTTCAATTTAACTTTGGCTTAATTTATCAGAATTCGGACTACACGGGAAATATATTGAGCTTACTTTAGACAACACAAGCATCCTCGGGGTACCTTGAAATCAAAATGATATGCAAAAGAGACCAAAAAGTTGATGGAACAATCTCCACTGTGAAGTTAACTACGAATGCTAAGAAGCAAAGTGAAGTTGGCCACTTGTTTTCAAATATCGCGCCATCCTTATATCGTTCGATTTTTGAAACTTTTATGCGAAGTAACTTCTTGTTTCCTTAGGTTTTGTTTTAATAGTGATAACGTTTGTAATACCGTCATGTAAGCTGCAATACATTCCCCTGACAAGCGGTAATACTGAAGCAATATAAGTTTGAAGAATTGGTAAAATATCACATTAGCCTACACGACAACTAACTTACATTTTGTTCATTAATTAGTTACTGCTAACGAAATGCATTTTAATATTAAATAATAAAAGAAGAATTTCGAACTATCGAGATCAAATTATATATACGTACTTAGTGTTGCACTAATGTTGGAAATGTTTAAGGCACTGGGATAGTTTTGCGAAGATATTCTGGTCACAAGATTATTCGACCAGTTAAAAAAGTTTCGTCATGCAGTTAAATTTGTTTTATACCAATGACAGTCTGACCCGAATGTTGCAGATAGAGATGTGTAAATTTTAAATAAGTGCTAAGTTACCATTGTAAAGGATGCAGAGAACAAAACGTACGTTTTTAATTGTATTTTCATAATGTTATATTTACAAAATACAATAAAAATAAAACATCTGTTTTATCCGTAATTGTCCTACTTTAAAAGGATGTTTTAAGGGTAGGTATGTCCTTTAATGGACATCATCGTAGTACACTAATCGATCTAAATTCAGCCAAGGAGGTCATATACATCAATTGCAGCTAGGTACAAATGCCTTTACATCATTGTCTCTATAAACAGGAACCATAGTCACTCACGTAATAGGTATCTGACAAAAAAAAATATTATAAGGCCGCTTCTGATTAAAAAGTTCAAAGTTGACACATATTTCTAATTAGGCCTTACTTATACCGTATCCTTAGGTAATCTCACCATCGATAAGTCTAAAATATTTTTCCTTTACAACGGCAACAGCGTGTTAAATAATTGTCCCACTATTTCTAAGTGACTGCTGTGTTCAAGATGGCGGCGCACACAAGATGTCGGGCGTACTGAGTGGCGCCACCGCCTCCAGGAGCAACTCGCCACCGGTCTCCGTGATCGGGACTGTTTTGTGGTAGTTTATGAGATCAGCTGAAAGAGCACATAAAATTTCTTTAAATATGAAGTGAAAAGCAATTTAAACAAAACAATGTGATAATTAAAGCTTATCGAAGAAATGGATAGTATTGTTTGTTACATTTAAATATTATAAATATAATTTCATCAATCATCAACAAAAGCCTCAGTCTACTGCTGAACATAGGCCTCTCCTTACAAAGGTTTTGGCCTACTATACCACGCTGGCGAGGCGGGTATGTACAGGGTTCGTTTCAAGTTTTCCTTCTCTTTGCAGTGCTGATGTCGTGCAAAGTTTACTCCCTCAGACGGCTCTTACGACACCCACGGGTGAATTTAATAAAAAAAAACATCAAACAAACATACGTCTATTGTACAGGGTTACTAGGTAAGTCGACCTAAATACTTTAAGGGGTTATAGTTGCCACCATTTCTTATAGATTTCACTATGAAATACCATATTATAAAAATAACCACAATATACAAGATTGGATATACAGTAAGCTTATTACTATGAAAGGGAAATATAAGCCTTAAGGCGAAGTGCGTCGAATTTGTAAGAAGTCTGTTTCTGAATAGGTCAGAGGACCAAGTGCGAGTTTATTTAACATCAACTCGATCGTCACGGTGGCCGTGTTCGTTGCAGCGATGGGCCCGCACTGTAATCTGCACCGAACGCGCGCTACAATTTCAATCATGTATTTATGATCTTTTCGATGCATAATAAAATCCACCTTTAAAAAATTTGTTTAATTTGTGCTATTACTTTCGTTTGACGTTACTTAGAATCATAGCCAATGAGAAACAAACCTATTCAGAAACTGACTTAAACAATTTAGTTTTCTATTTTACCTATTATTATCCTTTTTGAAAAGAAAAGAAAGAGTAGAAAGAGTCAAGAATGTCAGGAAGTAAAGGTAACTACAACTCGAGCTGACTATTCTCAGGAATTCTGAACCCTCTGAACTCTTAGTCTGCTAGTATTGTTAGTCTTTGATAATAATCAAATCAGATTACAGCGTGATAAACCGACTAGAGAAAGCAAGCTATTATAGTTAAGTTTGCATTTAGATGCTTTAGTTTCAAATCAGGAGTGTGAATAATAAATGTTCATACCCAGCGTGTAGTGGGTGACGTGTCCAGTGGGCAGCAGGCGGTAGGCGGGCGCGGCCTCCACCAGGTAGTGCTTGCAGCGCGCGCCCGCGCGGTATGTCACGGCGTAGCCCCACACCCGCTCCGACAGCCGCACCAGGAAGCTGCCCGTCGGCCGCCCCGCTAAAGCTGTTTCAGCTGCTGATCTACTTATCAGACCTGGAAACGAATCATTTTAAGCTGATCAATGAACAGCATCTAATGATTCAAAGCGTTCACTAAAGACTATCTTAGGCTTTGGGACTAGTCTCATGTGTTTAGGAAAGATTTTAAATAAGTTAGAGTCTCAGAAGAGTCCATTAGGTATGCGGAAAGCTGAAAGTACCCTCAATAGTTCTGTTATTAACTATAATAGCAGAGCCATCGAGGAACTCGAAAATAGTCCAAGTCCAGTCAACTTTCCGAAAACACACTGTGAGTACAACTCACAATTCTCATCTTTAACAACTATGTAAGACTGCTCTAACTTCTAATCTTTTTATTACAGGGTCTATGTACGTACAAGATCTTAACTAAATTAAAAACAGTTTGTTATATCTATAAATTCAATTTTTTTGAAAACATATGTCAAACAATATTAATTAAAGTAGAAATCAATCGTACCGTGGAACCATTCAACTGGTTTGTTATTTTCATCCAGTCCGACGCCACGGTTGAGTTCGTGTGTCCGAAACCACTCCATTACAGATTCTCTGTTTGGTGGTTTGCCAGCTGAAAGTACGAAATAGCAAATTATGGGACATGATTTCTGAAAAATACATGTATGTAGGGGAATTTCAGAATCATGTATCTGAAAATTTCGCATACCTTGTGTAGTATCAGGTGGCGCAACAATGTTTGAGCTGCGTCGATGCGCTTCTCTTGCAGCACGTGCGATTTCACGCATGCTAGCTTCGGCTTCCTTTGCTTTGCGCTCTGAAAACAATAATAACGCATCATGTAGCATCCTTAAGTAACAAATTATCAGGTCTCAGAATGATACCCTGAGGTAACCTCCTACTTTAAACTTTTATTAACCCACTTTTAAATACTGTATAGATATTTTAGATCATTTTTTTATACAAACTGATATTTATTGTATCACAGTAGTTATCCTTAATATACACACCTAAAAATTCATTTCAAAGGGTTGTAATCTGCATTGAACGTTTGATTCAAGTCAAAAACTATTTTTAATTTTAGTAAAACATACACCTACCTTGATCCCTCCAAGTCGCGTCATGCGACAGTGCATTATGCTGAGCAATTCTGTTAGCCCTGGCTCTCCTAGCCTTCAGCCCCCTCAATATGTCTCCAGCTCTTGCTGCCGCAACGCGTCGTTCCCACGCGGCTACTAATACACTTACTCCGTCACCACTACTGTTCACACCCATGTCCTAAAATAAAGAGCACAGACGATTTAGTATCATTTAAAGGCTTTAAAGAATTAGAGATAAGCCCAAAAGCTATTTCTTCTTTAAGTAAGTAATAATAATAAACTCACTTCAAACCTCACGCCAAACTAAGCAGAGCCTATGCTAGGGTAACTAGACTGCTGATAAACATACTTATATATTTCTAAATACATACATATCATAGATAAATTACACCCAAACAGTGAACAAATGATCGCGCTAATCACACAAATATTTTTCGTGGGTGGGAATCCAACCCACGATCTCTGGCTTAGCAGTCAAGATCACTAACCACTAGACCAATAGGCCCGTCATAGATCAGTAGATTAAAACTTTACTCTATACTTTGCAATACTTTTTGACATGTTCTCAACCTTACTTTAAATTTCAATAGCTTTCTGCTCAGATATTAGCATTTCATCTACTTTCATATTTAGTTCATGAATTTATAATGTATTGAGACTACGATTCAGAACATTGCTTTCTTCCCTACTTATACTTATTAGAAACTGAATTTAAACTAGGGTTACAATTCTCTTCAACAAACCTGTAATACATCTCGTTTCCCCTCAATAAAGTTGAAATGCAAAGTATTCTTGTTAAGGTCCAGCTTCAAGGAGTCGTTACAAAAGTCCGCCTTATCAGCGAGTTCGTCCCTTATCTCTAGTTCTTTATCAGAAAGTTTAACATCAGGCTCTAACTCTTCGATACGCTGGCGCAGCTCGTCCACCGTACAGTAGATCTCTAGCGTGTCTTCCAAAGGATCGATAGTTTTGGGAGATAGATCAAATTTCTGAAACAAGATTGAGGATAAATATTAATTAATATTAACTTCACACATCTAAACACACACATCACAAACTAGATAGAGTCTATGGTAGCTAAACTGCTGATAAACATATTTATATTTTTCTAAATACATTATGACTTTCTCGGTGAAATGCAATGAATGATTTACATAAACCGATTTTTGAAGTGAAAACTACTTTAGCCGCGTTGAGCGTTTTTGAACAACAAACAAAATAATGTATTTTTGTTTTGAGATGGTAAAAAACCATTGAACTCGCGACACTGTTACCATTACAGGCATCTGTATATATTGAAGTGAACACTTCCTTAGGCGCTTTGGGCATTTTTTGATATGGTAAAAAACAATTGAACTCGTGACAGTTACCGTTACCGACACCTCTGTTTATAAGTTTTCACTTCTGTCTGCACTCCCGGAGTGCCTCTGTTTTTTTTTAGGACGTGGTACGACTCCGGCCGAGTTATACTTCGACCCAAATGTGCGAAGCTTTTGTTGGGAGAGTCCAACGCATAATTTTGTATTCAGTTAGGCCAGTTTTCGTGTTTTAGTTGGTATTATTCTTAAGCTTATATAAATATTGGACATAACACACATGTTTTTATGTAAATACCATTGTTAATTGAACAAGGTATCAATTCGTTTACTCACATGAAAACGCAAACTATTTTGTTCAGTCACATTTATATTTGGCAAACAAAAGATTTTAAAGAAGAAATATTTATATCAATCGTTCGTGAAAGAAACCCTTTGAAATTGACCTGCCAGTATGAGTACAAATAATTTTTGATTCATTTATCGTCTAGTCTAGTCTAGTCTAGTTAAAATAGTCTCATTCATATAATTATAAAGAAATAATGAGACAAACCGTAGAATATTAATCAAAAAGCTCAAAAGATCCAGCTATAAATTTATTAGTACAATATCAAAAGAAAGTGCAAATTAACAAAACTTTCTCCTCGTTGCTGAAAAGACTATAAATTTTATCCATGATCATTTTAAAAGGCGGTATTACGAACCTGTTCCAAGTCATCAAGAGGCTTATATTCAATGAGCTGTGTGAGTTCCTTTTCAACCGACTTCCTCAACTGCTGCACTTCCTCTCGTGCCTGCGCAATGGCCTTTTCTTGAGCTTCTTCCGCTAATATCGTCTCTATAGACTTATCATTCGCGTGCTCACCCATCACCCAAACCTGAAAAAATATTATGAAATTTACAGACACTAGATTTTCGGTTTTGAGAAGTTTTCTTTTCTTCAGCCTATTACCGTTCACTGCTGAATAAAGGCCTCCCAAAAGGAGCACCAAACCATCCCAGTCTTGGGCAGTTCACACCCATCCATTCTGAGAAGCAGTGTACGAAAATATTCGAGCATAGAAACCATGTAGAAACGACTTTTTTTTGTCTAGTATCAGCTTTCAGTGTAATGACATCAGAGAGTTTAAAGGTTAAGGGACTACATTCAACATACACTATATCCCCGAAGAGGTAAGCAGAGGTGTATTAAACGCCCACATTTTGGCTAAAATCTTAACCAACTTATGCAGGACAAATCTATTGCCGTCAGCTGGACACATTAGAAATTAGATGAGGATGGGGAGCAATGATAGGAAACGGATACTACTTATACAGTTCTATTGGGAACTGTAAGAAAACGGTGGAGTAGGTGGGTAAATATTATTTCTTTTTAATGCCTTAATTTTCTACCTTATTGACCTCCTGCAGTAATTAAATTCACTATTGGTAATTGTTCTAAGTTATTGAAATCAAGCATGTGACATAGTGACAAGAATTTAAATATATATAGTTTATTTTCAAAGATTATTTTATCTTTTAAAAGATTAGGTAATGACTCATAAGTAAAAAGAGAGAAGAGTCACCCAGGTCAGAGTCGCAAATGTACTGGAGCATTGAGTATCACACAAACACTACAAAAAACTTCAGGAAACAGAATACTGTTTAATTTATTGAAATCAAACACCGAGACTAAACATACATATATATTTTGTAAGCTTTTTTTTGAGTAGCCGGAGTTAATTCATGACTCAAATTGTTACAATAACAACGGAAGGTTATAAATAATACTTGTATATACGTACAGGTAATACATAAACTACTTATCAATGATTGAAATACATTACATAGCCGGAACTATTAGCTGTTTACGTAATAATAATTCGCTCAATAACCGTGACATTTTACTTGTGACACTTAGCAATGACTAGGAAATATCCGCAAAAGCAATAACGTAAGTTTTGTTTCCACTTCAATCCTTACATATAATAGGTGCAAATGTGTGTTTATTTGTTACGCTTTCATGCCTTAACTACTCTACCGATCAGCTTGAAAAAAGTAGTGGTTCCAAAAGATAAGATAAATTACTTGAATGTGTTTAAAGCCACAAATAAATGCATATCAAGAAATATTAATACGTTTAAGAACAATAAATCCGGGGCGCATTAAGAAACCTGAAAATTTCGAAAGCTAAGAATATTAAATTAGTGAAAGAAATTGTATTTAATGGTCAGTTAAATACTAGTCATCATAATCATCATCAACAGCTTTTCATAGTACACTGCTGGACATAGGTCTCTCCTCAGAAAGAAGTTTTTGGTCTACTATACCACGCTGGCCAGACGGGTTGGTATGGGGTTTGTGTCGAGTTTTCCTTCTCTTTGGAGTGTTGTTGTCTTGCGTAGTTTACTCCCTTAGTCGGCTCTTGCGACACCCACGGGATGAATAGTGACACTCCGTATTCTTAATCCGTCACCAAATGGATAATACTAGTAATGAAGTTTATTTTGTCACTTTGTATTACATGCATAAAAATACGGCAGTTTATCAATTACAATAGTAACTAATCTTCACCTTAAAAAATAAAAGAACACCATATATATCTAGCTAGTTTGGCATCCTGTAAACAATCAATCAACCATCCTGTGGCTCAGTTTCTTATAAGATGTTTGAGAATATTCTTCCTATATCTAAGAGGGCAATTTTGAGCTCACTACTCTAAGGCCCGTATTTTAAAAGGTGTCTCAGTCGTGAATCTAGTCTTAAAACTAATTTTAAGTAGAGATTTTATTATTAAACGTCACTTAAAACGAGATTCACCGATCCATACTCAAGTGAGTGATAGCTTATTTTAGAACGATGTTTATGTCGAAATCATTACTAAGGTATAGATTTTGACAGCTGTGATCTTTGTTTACGTGAGACAAGCTGAAACTAGTCTCAAGCGGTGATTTCTAGGGCATTTAGGGAATATTAATGTGTTTTACGATTATTTGTTTTTGAATAATTACGAAAGATTAACTTTACTTTATTTACGAAAGAATTACTTGTCATACTATAATCAATTTCACTTTAATTTACCTTTATTGATATGAAATTCACTAAAAGTCACATTTTACACACACAATATCAGTTTAAATTACTACAACCTTTTGGTTTATGTTATAAAAGTACAGTAATATAAATTTCAGAAATATCAAATAAAAACATCGTTTGACATTTCAACATGACAAGTGTTGATAAATAACTTGAACGTTCCGTTATAGCCCATTCATACAGCTAGTCATTTTTATTTTAATATTTATTATATTTAATTTTGAACCAACAACAAGCTTGTTAATATGCTAACATTTCTACACTAGCCAATAGTATATTACATACAAATTCACAGAAATTATGTTTGTAAAAGAAAAGTATTTTTAAAATAATTAGCTGCGTAATGCGGAATAATAATGTCAATCACGAAAACGTAAGTAAGTAAACTGTAAGTTCAAATCAATACTTGAAACTAGTTTCAACTGAGTAAAACTTAAAACGCGTTCTATAATAAGATCGATACTTAAGATTTGATCTGCACTTAAAACTAGTTTCAGGCAATCAGAGTTCAACCGACACTTGAGACGTCTTTTAAAATACGGGCCTAAGTCATCCACAATCCAACTTAGATTCATCGCTTAGCAGTTTCACCACAAAATATTTCCGCACAAAATATATATAAGTCATTCGTTTACACAAAATTGATGACCCTGTTTAACAAAACATATTGATCATTGTGTTCAGGGTTAAATCGCACCGAACAATGAGAAAACCTTCAACATGGAGTTACTCTAACCGCTCGTTGAAGGTCCGTCAATATGTTATTGAATACGGAGCTAAATATCGCCATTAGTAGCTGTAACTGGTACGAGATATTTATGGTAATCTCTTTGTAATACAGTTTAAACATATATTAACAATATACATACGTGTGTTCAGACTTTATGAGGTAATTTTGTGTATTTGTGAGTTAAAAGAAATTATGTTTTGTTTTTTTTCCTGCAATCACTTTTAACACGAAATTTGACTTCTTTGTACAAGTTCAGAGTTCAAAAAACACATTAGTATGATTTTAATGTTTTTATGCTTTCATTAAATAATGTAGTTACTAATAATAACTTAACGTATTTACGCCCCTCTCTTTACATTATTTTTTAATTTATATCATATTAACTTTTCTTGGCTTCGCTTCCGTTCAAATAGATTTATCAATCAATCTGGAGATTTTTCTATCGATAAATTATATATTTTTTATCCTTGAAAATATTTATACAAAAGTACATTTTAATCAGTTGTGTAGTTCAGACATGAATAATATTAGTTAGGATTAAATTATATTCAAGTCGTTATTATTTTCTTAAATAGAATCATTACTATGTGTTTCACTAAATCCTAAGGTATATTGCTCAATATTTTTTTGCAATACATATATGTAAGTGTTGCCTACTGCCTACACATGACTCGGCAGCAATAGTACAGTTTCAAGGATAATCATATCCTAAGACTTTCATAATGCAGTTTCGAATTATAATGCCTAATTCAATTTCCTGTATAAATATCACACAATATCACCCACGAGTTGGCGATTTTGATATTAAGATTCACATACCCATGGTTCTCCATCCTCTCCAGTCAGAAACTGCACCTGCTTTCTGCCATTCTTCTGACATTTGGGCCTTTCGTCTTCTTTGCCAATCTTCTCGTCCCAAAGCTGCCATCGACGCACCTGGAAGACAACATATCATAAGCTGAGTAAATTGAAAGAGGGTTGCTTTGGTAATTTAATTAAATACTGTTAACTAAAATATTCTTTAAAACCATTTTCTTGTTTCGTCAAAATTTTCTTTATTAATAAAATATAAGCATCACAGTGTACACCAAATCGCTTATATCTATGCTAATTTTAACAAAAATAAACTACATACTATTACAATTGTAAAACTCAGACCATCAAAATGAAACAACATAAAATTTGTAAACAAAAACAACCATACATCAACTTAGGAACTATAAAATTACTCTTTATAATTTAGATATGTATAAATATGTTTTAAAATTATGCTTTGGGAGTCGAAAACTATATCTGCATCTGGACTATACTAAAGGAACTCATTGATAAGCCTAATTGCTATAGCAGTGGGGCTATGGTCAGCCTGGGGATAGCGCCACGTAGGCGGACAGCACAGGAGTCTATGTTGTCGTCTTCCAACGGCACGCATATATTGGTCGGGAACATAAAAATGTATTGTTTCCCGTACAACAGGGCTATCTACCTTATTCGAAAATAAATATCTAGAACTATCTAGAAAAATAATAATTTTAAAAAGATGAAAAAAGAATGATAGGAAAGATCTACGCCAGTTTTAATTCTCGTTCTTCCTCTATTGTTCTTATTCACTGCTCCATTCTTAACGGCGTGATTTTACATCAATCAATCAATATGTCAATAATCTTCTTTAATATAATATACTCTATCCAATACTGAAAGAACTTTTAAAATCTCTTTGATACAATCGCAGAGATATGAGAATCTTATTACTTGTTTAAACATGGTTTAATGGATAATATGATTCACCTATATGTAGACAATCAACTCAAATTTCTTGTAAAACGCTGTGGTTTCATTTAAAATTCCGAAGTCGTCATATTGTATGTGGGAGAGCACTGTTTAGGTACAAATGAGTGCTAACACGGCCTCATAGAAAACCGGTGTATAGCAGTTCTTTCGTTGCTTTTAACCAGAGTTAGTGAGATTACCGGAGCTCCAAAACCCCCCTGATTCATAGGGGAGGACTCAAATCGCGGCAAAGCACTTGTAACTCTTTTATTTTATTTTAATACTTTATGCACAAGTATGGGTTGAACAATGGCGGACTTAATGCCACAGGCATTTTCTCCCAGTCTACCTTAGAGTGGTACTGAAATGTGTGAGTAGGTGTACTAGACATTGATATGTAAAGTAAGAAAAAAATATTGAAAATTTGACAGAAACAATGAGATAAATGTACTTATATACATACATACTAAATACATACACATACATAAATACTTACCTAGTTACATACACACATAAACCTTCATATTGATAATATATAAAACGTTAAGGTTGCAATGAATCTGATCTTGAATCGCAGGTGTTCATGGGCTTAGACGGCGGAGCGGGACCGGGAGAGGTTTAGGACTCTCCCGGCCCACCAGGCCGGGAATGGGCCAGGTATCGCAGGCGACTCAGACGCCGGAGGTCGCAGAACGACCTCCGTCCTCCATAAGCGCAGGCCTGGGGGTGACAGGTGAGGCCATCTGTCACCCTAGCAGAAGCAGGCCGGGGTGGCGGCGAGCGCGTTGCGAAGCGCGCTCGCTTCCAGGGAGCAGAGGGAACATGGGGTTCCCACACGGGGGGGGTCGTCTACCTGTTGTTGTAGATGGCCCGAGGTATGTCAGGGCACCAGGGACTTCCTTTCTAGGGTATACCTGGTTCCCCGGCTATTAGTACCCGAGACGGCGTGCGGATTTCCGAACGGGAAAAAAAAAACAAAAGGTGTTCATGCTAGTTACTTAACATCAGATAACGTGTCTTCTCATTTCTTCCCTACGTTAAAAAGCTAAAGTAAATATTTCGTTTAAGCTAAAGTAAATGTTCGTGTAGTGACGGATTAAGAATATGGAATGTTGCTACCCCAATTCATCCCGTGGGTGCGTAAAAGCCGACTAAGGACGCAAAACAACGCAGGACACCAGCACTGCAAGAAGAAGGAAAACTTGACACAAACCCTATACCAACCCGTCTGGCCAGCGTGGTATAGTAGGCCGGAGCCTCCTTTCTAAGGAGAGGCCTATGTCCAGCAGTGGACTATTAAATGCGATTGATGATGATGATGAACCAAATGAAAGTGATAGACATAACAAAATTTGAGAGATAGGTACTGCGATGACGTCACAAGCTTAAAATTTAGATGCAGAGGTCGTGCAGTAGAGAACCTTGAGGTTCGTTGAAAGTTTAAGTGAATATGCAGGTAGGCAGCAAAGTACGAGCAGATAGATTATGCAGAACAGGTTTTTTACACGGGCCATTTGGCATAGACAAATTATGTTTATTTTTAAGGTCTACGTTTTTTGTTTCATCTATTATAGGTAAGTGCGTATTACATCCGATCCTGTTGATGGCCGGTTATTTTTTCTGATTACTTGGTCAAAATCTTTTTAGTGTTAGTAACAAAAGAAGTTTGTGGTAATAATAACATGGCTTGTTAGAGATTACACACAGTCATAGCAGTTCCCACACGGCCTCTGATCCCAAATTAGGCAGAGCCTGGGCTGGGAAACTAGAGTGCTTGTTTCCACACTTAAAAAAAAAGGTAATTCTGATAAACATGCTTATAAATTTATAAATACATACATCTCATAGTTAAATTACACCCAGACAGAATACCTAATCGGGTTCATCGCACACTATATGTCCTAGGTGGGAATCGAACCTACGATCTCTGGCTTAGCAGTAAGAGTCCTAACCACTGGACCAACAGGCCAGTCAGAAAAAACACAAATACTTATAATACATTAGATAATTTACTTAGTAACATAATAATCTATGAGTAATGTACAATAAAAAATGTTAACAAAGTCTTTGTTACAACTTCATAGTAATTCCGTCTATCGTATTGTAAAAACAAAATGTTGTAATAACTAATTAGTTTTTTATTCTTTAACTAGCTTCTGCCCGCGACTTCGTCCGCGTGGAATAATTACTTTGGGCTAACGCTAACTTTAACCCGCGACTTCTTTTATGTAGAAGGTGAAAATGTTTTTAAATAATACGTACAGCGGAAGCTCTCAAAAGTAAAAAAAACCGCACGCAGCCGAAGCTCTCAAAAGGAAAAAAAACCTCGATTTTGAAACATTCTTCATTAGTGTTCCGCTTCCATTGGTCTTAGCGTGATGATATATAGCCTATAGCATTCCTCGATAAATGGGCTATCTAACACTCAAATAATTTCTCAAATCGGACCAGTAGTTCCTGAGATTAGCGCGTTCAAATAAACAAACAAACAAACAAACTCTTCAGCTTTATAATATTAGTATAGATAGGCACAACGCTATGAGTCACTAAGCACTGGTTCCGTTAGTTAAAAGAAAAATATTCAATTCTATTCTAGTATTGTTTGAATTTTAAATGTTCTATGTTATATTGTTCAGTTTTATTTTTAAGTCGTTCAGATGCTGTTCTCTTTACGTTTCATTGTTAATAAATTTTAACTAAGAAATTTTAATGAATTTACAAAGAAACAAGTTTTTTTACATTGGAGAGCCATGTTGCCTTCGGCACAAATGGACTGGCTCGATCGGCAAGATACCATGGCCTGATAAAAAACTTGCATTTTTGAAAGAAAGTTGGTATCATCATCAACAGCCTTTAATAGTAAGCTGCTGGACATAGGCCTTTCCTTAGAAAGGAGGTTATTACCTACTATACCACGCTGGCCAGACGGGTTGGTATAGGGTTGATATCAAGTTTTTCTTATCTTTACAGTGCTGTTGTCCTGTGTAGTTTGCTCCCGTAGTCTTACGATACCCATGGGATGAATAGGGGTGGTGACACTCCGTATTCTTGATCCGTCACCACACGGATAAAGTTAGTATATTAAGATACAATAAGACATAACTTTTTTCTGGAAGTGTAGAGATACGGTTCAATTACAATTTGTACAACTCACAAGCAGGGACCGGCTCATGTTGTAGTTGAATTAAACAGACTAATTCAAGGTCAGGTTCTAGCATACGCAAGACCACAATGAATACATCAAATAAATAATACCTTGTCTTTTATTTCAAATCCATGGTTTTTAATTTTGCAATGTTAATTAATACTTTCAAAGATTTTGTAATGAATATTTCAGCATTTGTCCCGACAATCATTACATAGCGATTAAATGTTATCGCATCGCTAACATAATGGGGGGGGGTGTTAAACAAGGTCAATTGTAACTCTGAGTCTAGAAGAAAACGTCTCGGGACGCCCGACAGAAGTGATAACTTAAACTAATCCAAGTTGAACTATTCAATATTGAAATTGTTTAACTTGAGAAAAAACTTAGGTAATTACTTAAATTTTATGTAAAGCGTCTGTCCGAAATACGGCTAACGCCGTGGGTTAGAGTAAGAGAGGAGGAGCCTGCCTACCGCTGCCGCATGCGTGAGAGAAAGGGAAGCCAGACAGACTGGCGCCGTAACGCGTTACGTAACGAAGCGGTTTCCCCTCCCATAAGAAGTTATCACTTCAAAAATGGCATAACCTTACTTGCAAAATAAGAATTATACTTAGGCCTAATCAGAGTTAATACCTTGGCCAAGCGTTCTAAATTACATGGCGATGACTGTAAAATCCATGAAGTCACATTCAGTCCTTATCACTAGATACAGTTTTTTTTTTGTATAAAAGAAAACTCCCGCACAAGGAATAAATCCTGTGTTGTGGGGACTTTACAAACATACATGAAACGGACACCCTGACTCAGAACAACAATTTGTGGATCACACAAAGTGTGGTCACATGTGGGGATCGAACCCACAACCCTCAGCGCAGTAGGAAGCGGCGAGGTGACCGCTTAAACCACTACGCTATCCGTTCAGTCAAATTACTATCTTATCAAGATTAAGAATGATTAATTTGACAGCACCGAATGTGACGTCAAGCCGTACTGCAAGGCTCACCCTAAGTAAGCCTTAGAAGTAATACAATACAGTACATACAGTATTAATATAATACAACACAGTATTAATACTATATACCGTTTAATACCGGTATAATACCGTTTTGACGCACAGTAAAAAAGGTACTGATTTGACTTTTTAGTCATTTCAGTTTGTTCTTATAATACAATAGTGTGAAAACAAACAAAATATTCGATTGTCAATTGGTAATAATGGACGATCGGGTATTTTAACAGCTGTTGCGCTTAGTAAAATATGTCACCTCCATGTATCTATTATCCTCTTGCATCTACTATGGTCATATTAATGAGTTTATATACATACTTAATTATGCACTTAATAGGTAATATTATCATTATGCGGGTTGCACTTACGTTTATTTGCGGTAGTTGAATAGTCAAAGAGTGGGTCTTGCGATCGAACGATTACAGGATTGAAGCAAGTATATTATCAGCTGAACCCACTCTAAATACAAATTAATAAAAATACAATAACAAACAAATTGGAGAGCAGGTACTAAAGATCTTGTCAGAAGCAACATCACATGCAACGAAAATGCAAACGTATAAATCTCCAACTCCAAACGTTAGCAAAATCACAATCATGCGGATACAATTTGGTGCTTGACATGAAGGACCAATCGCTTCCTTTTAGTTAAAAAAGGTCCCCCATTGTTACTAACTAAATAAGAAATCGTGTTTCTATCTTCACGGACTTAACCGTCAGTTCACATTCCTTTCGACCAAACCCTTCTAATATCGAAGCACAACTATAGTCTGCTTGGAGTTGAAATTCCACTAGCCTAGCCACTCCTTTATGCCTATTAAGCCTATATACGTTATATGTATTGTATACAATTTAAATCTAGTTTACAATGAGAATAAATTCCTATAAAGTCTGTCTGTCTCTCAATTGAACTAGTTGACTAAATTTTTAGGTTTATGTTAAAACAAATACAAAATAATAAAAATTTGGGGTCGTTGTTTAGAGGTTTTGCCACTCCATTGACTTACTAATAAGGAATTAAGATTGGTGACATGCACTGAAAATTTTGCAAGTACAATGATTTAAAATCTTTTTCAGACTCGCGTAATGGTCAAGTTTTGCAAATTACATCTTTCTTCGATTCTGAACGGTAACTTGGTATGTAGGACTCGAACCAACTAGTACCAGACACTCTTCCTTCACCGGGTTCTGTTATCGGAGCCTCAGGTGTGCCATGGTAAGGAAATCCCTGTAAAGCGTACAACATCATCATCATCATCTTAGCCGATAGACATCCACTGCTGAACATAGGGCTCTCCCAAGCCTCTCCACAACAACCAGTCCTGTTTTGTCCGCATCCAACAGCTTCCCGCGACCTTCACTAGGCAGTCGGACCACCTACTGAGGGGCCTAACCCACTAAAAAAAAAACACACAATTCCCTTTTCACAGACCGAAGCGACTATCGGCCACAATGTTTGTTCCTAAATTACGCCAAAACAGAACGGCTGAACAGATCCGAATAAGAATTTGTTACAAAGAATAGTTTATCACCTGAATAAGCGTTTAAGCTACTCTTTATGGTATTGTGAGAGAATAATGAAAAAGAGATACGCAGGCGCACTCACTGATAAGTGCTAGTTAAAAAATATATTCGTACCTTTTAATAAAGCACTATATATTTAATCCTTTACTCAATTAACTACACGATAACAGCTTCAAGTAATGAATACATGAAAAACGATCTTCAAGGCTAACAATTTGATATGCAGATTGTCTAGCCATAAACCAAATTGGCAAGTTTAAAGTCATTCGAGATATGGCTAATGGCTTTCGTTACGGTCGAACGCAGTTCCGTGTGGCGATTTGCGTATGATGAACTACAAAAGTGACTTGTCATACCCGTGGTGGCTGACTATACTTCTAAAAAGGCTTAATACCATGGAGTTCGCATTGGATATTCAGCAACTTTACTCTTTAAATTAACAATTTAATTCTACGTTTGAAATACGTGATGACATTATTTGGATCCTTGATGCCTACCTTACATTTAATACTTTTATATTCAAGTTTACATGTAATCTGTGAATTAAAACTATCTATCTATAGCGTATACTTTGTTCCCAGTTGTGGTGACGGATTGAGAATAAGGTGGGTCGCAACTTCTATTCATCCCGTGGGTGTCGTTAGAGCCCACTAAGAGAGCTAACTAAGCAGGATAAGAGCACTGCAAAGATAAAGAAAACTTCAAGAAACAAACCCTTTTTTTTCTTGAGGAAACCCCTCGGGCGACAGCTGGGCCCACCGGAGTTTAGGGTGTGCTGGTGTGTTGAAATCGGACAGACTAAAACCACAAGGTGTGCAATTCTACGCCTTTAATATAAGGGATCCGGGAACTGCAGTTGTTAAGGCATCCGGACCCCTCCCAGCGCCTGCCCGCAATTGCGCGCGCACCACCTTCGGGTACATTCTCTGTTTAGGTTCGCCTCCTCCCGTCCCGTCCACCTGCAGCCACACTCAGGGCGGCATGAGGCGGTAATAAGTGCGGAGGCCGCCGCCTGGATTGTCGGCGACGAATTGGGTCCGAGTGGTGATCATCCTCCCTTTCAGCGGCCTCCTTCTGCGAGATGACGTCTTCACAGAAGGATGGACCGCGGTAAAGCAACTGTCACTACCGGCCATGGAGCGCATGACGGCCGCTAGTAATAGATCCTCTCCAATAACTGCAGGGAAGACCTGATACTTGCCACGCCGGCCAAATTGCCAGCGTGTGCTGAAACGAGTCCTCACTGACACGTCAGTGAGCAGGCGGGACTCCCTCCTAGCTACCGAGTACAGGTACTTCCCAAAGCAGCTGTTAGTTGGAAGGAAAGGGTCCTGTGCTGCCGCCCTGCCTACTGGAGCGCCTCTACGGCGGCAAAACCAGCACGTGGAGCCTCCAGCAGGAACAACCAACGAACCATCGTGGCTCGACGAGCGGCCTCACGTCACTCGCGTACGTTTTCGGCCGGGGGCCGCTAACCGCCCGGAACTCAGTCATCCGCCTATATACTGTGGTGAGCATTACCACCTCGAAATCCAACGGGGAAGTTCCGGCCACCGTACAGGCCAAATCCATCGAGCAGACCCGTTTATGCCCAACTATGGCTCTCCTACCAGGAAATACGCCAAAAGTTGAAATATTTTTGCTAGTATCACCTACCTGTTCTTCTCTCATTTTGCAGAAGAGTGTCTGTTTCTGGGTCTCGTCCAGCTCTGCCAGGATCTCGGGGTCCACCCACATGTCGCGCAAGATTTGCTGCAACATGGTGCTGACCCTGTAAACAAACAAAATAAATCGGATATATTATCTGGTACAGGACATCACACTATAGTGACTAAGTTACTGAGCAAAATTTAATTAATCTAATGTCTCTTTTATTTTATCATATTTGACTGCACACAATCATCCATTTATTGACTGCACAGATGGCGTAGTAGATTAAGCGGTCGCCAAGCCACTTCCTACTGCGCTGAGTGTTGTGGGTTTGATACCCACGTGGAACAACACTTTGTGTAATCCACAAATTGTTGTTCTGAGTCTGGGTGTTCTTTGTGTCTGTTTCGTGTTTTTTTTTAAGTTTTTCTTCTCTTTGCAGTGCTGTTGTCCTTCGTAGTTAGCTTCCTTAGTCGGCACTAATAACACCCACGGGATGAATGGGGTGGCGACACTTTGTACACACCACCGTCACCACACGGACACCAATACTATATGTAGAACAATATCAGTAAATCAGCAGGACTGTCTAGTTTGCGATCAGGTAGCGGTGTATTAGATGTTTCCATTTATTATTAGTATTCTCAATAACTAAACATAAGAAGAGAATAGAATTTACTTAAAAATAAGCGAGAGTAGTGAAAGCGATACAGGTTCGATTAGATTGCTTCCTTAAATCACGTGCCGGTCGAACAAACTACGTGATGACCTGCAATGTACGTATTATTTATAATTATAATATCCGCGTATATTGACCTTAGCATTGCAGGATTTAATAATGCTTTTCTATATTTGAATAACTATGTATCTATATATACAGACATAAGGTTATATCCACGTATGGGAACTAGCGACTTACGGACCTAACGGGTTTCCTTTATCAAGAGATTATTGGTCTAGTGGTTAGTGACCCTAACTTTTAAGCCCGAGATCATAGGTTCAATTCCCAACCGGAACAAATAATTCAGAGATGACCAAAATTATTCTTCTGTGTATGGGTTTTATCTATAATATGTAGGTTTGTTTTTAGAAATAATATGTACCTAAATGTTTAGCAGCAGTCTGGTTACCAGCCATAGCACGGGCTTTGTCTAGTTTGGGATCAGAATGCCGTGTGTGAGATGTGTATAGTTATTATTATGCCGTCTATATAAACTACCGCACCCGCGATGGCGTAGTGGTTACTACGCCGAGTGTTGTGGGTTCAAACCCCACATGGGAGGACACTTTGTGTGATCCACAAATTGTCGTTCTGCGTCTGGGTGTCCTTTGTGTGCGTTTCATGTACATATGTTTGTAAAGTCCCCCGCGACACAGGATATATACCTAGTGCGGGAGTTGTCTTAAAAAAAAAAGATTTTATGCTAGAATATGTAATTGTTTAATATTATCAAAATCTAAGTATTTTCCACATGTTTAATATGGTTTTCACAGAATGTTGTATAACCAAAATCACTTCAGATAAGTTTGTATCAACTAAATTGGAGTCTTGACATATTGTCAACGTAATCTCAAGTGGTAGGTACCAAATAGTCACAATGTCAGAACTAATCTGTCCAAGCGTTATCGTAATGGTTACGTCAATGAATAAAAATAGCAAATTAGACTGAGTTGATTTCACGACTTTTACTAAATTTAACATAATAACACATACTACGTAGAATCAAAATTATTTAGTATCTTTACTTTCTACTTGAAATAGTATTCAAGTAGAAAGTAAAGATACTAAATAATTTTGGTTCTACCGCCACTGGTTTTTATCAAATATTTCGACAAAATTTCTTGACAAAACTTTTTGGTGAACGTTTTTCCACCATGTCTTATCATCTGTCTGTTTGCCCTCGCTGTAATCTCTGAGCCCTGGATCACATTTATACCTCGACACACAATTTTTTTTCATATTTACTTACGTTTTAACAGATAAGAGAGACATAAAAACAATATTTTTACGATTTTCAAATTTTAAATCTGGAACAAGGTTTATGCACTGCATGTAAAATAGATCTGCAAGGCCCTTTAATAATTATTTTTACTAGGTATATACTATATAATATTAATAAAACAGGATACAGACAGAAACAGAGGCATTCCAAGGAATTTAATTTAAATTTTAAAAACCATAATTAAATAAAACTTAGTTAATCTCTAAAACCCATTTTTTTCCACTTTCCAAAAAATATTTTTTCCACGAATTCGTCCGCAGGAAAACAGCACGGCACTTACGGATCGCAGTGTTTTGAAAAAACCAGTGGTAATGCGAAGTTAACTTTTAAGAAATATGTAATTTTAAATAACCAACTTCTTCGGGCATTTTTATTGAAGACGAATAACTAACCTAAAAACTTAATAAACCTTAATTATTATAAATATTTTATTCTTAATTTCCTTAAAATGAAATGGGACCTTTCTTGCATCTATTATATAAAAACTTAATTATTGAAATCCACGCGTAATTAACATACATTCGATAAAAAAAAAGTTGAATTAAGAAAGGCCACCTATATCAAATCGTTTAAAAAATTCGGCTCAGCAATTTTAGGTTACAACCAAAGTTTATCTAAACTTTAAAATAATATAACTTCTATACAATATAAATAGGTATAGACTTAAACTATTTATTTACTATTAACTTTATTTCTTAAACAATCGGGTTTATTTTCCAGGAAAAACCGAGTAGGTTGTAAGTACTTCTTTGATGTAAACCCTTTTAGTAAGACAGTATTATACCAATCGTGACGACACGGCGGGGCGGTGCTTTTAAACCGTGTTCCAACTACTAACAAAAAGCGACGTACCTAATGCGAATATGGCCGTATGGCGTGCTAAGGATTTCAATCACTATACAATATGCATTATGCAAAAGCTTGTGAGCTTGTCTACACGGTAAGTAGACTTCAAAATGGCAGGATTCTTGTTGCATATAAATTTGAACTTTAAAATGAAATCCTGTAGATTGCAATCGGAGTAACTGATATGCTGTTAAGGTGTACGGTTGCTAGACATTTACAAAATATGTTACCTATAGAATTTGCTTTACGCTTTACCAAATGAGTCATAGCAAATCCCTACCTAACTAAACTTGCATAACTATGTGGTTTTGAATTTGAGCTCATATTACTTTTGATCAACACAATAGCTTCAGTACAATAACAGTGACATCTAACTAGCTAGTGTTATAAGCCATTTTAGTATGTTTTACAGTAAAAATTATAATAGACTTGGAATCAATAGCCTCGATTTGTCCAACGCTGGACAAAGGCCTCTTCTAAAATAGAAGGGATCCGCCTACCATACCACGATGGCTAGACGAGTAGGGTTTGTTTCAAGTTTTCTTTCACTTTACAGTGCTGTGCCCTGCGCAGTTTCTTCTATTAGGCGGCTCTCATGACACTATTACGATAAATAGGCGTGGTAACACTCCATATTCTTAATCCGTCACCAGAAGGGGTGATTTTAGTGACATTAATTTGACATAGTGGTTGTCTGTAGGTTTATACGGGTTGGTACGCTTTATAGTTACTGTTTATTTTACCCGCATAACTCGATCAACAATATGCCGTTTTTAATTAGTTACTTAAAATTTCACACCGATATGCGTGCTGTTGTCCTACATACATGTATGCAAACGTAGGACAACAGCACTGCAAAGAGAATCAAAACTTGAAACGAAGCCAATACCAACCCGTCGGGCCACTAGTACTCGTATAAGTAGGCCCAAACCTCCTTTCTAAGGAGAGGCCTATGTCCGGCAATGGACTATTAAAAGCTGTTGATGTGATGGAAAATCACCTTAAAGGAAGTAATTAACCCTAAAAAGATTACTTAATTAATTGTTTCGTTAGCATATATGTACGTTTCTCAAAACAAAAGCCGTAAGAAAATATTATTGTTATAACTCTTGTATAAGCTCTTAGTCCGTCGATGACAAAGGATTCGTGAGCCATATTACAACACAAGTCGTGATGAATACACACAATATGGCTATAGATCAAAAGTGAAGGTGAGACAAATGCTACTCGTACAGCCAAGAGCTTTGCGCACGTATTCTTTGAAACATAATGGCTTTGGTCTTTGCTTCGTGTTTCACCTTTGTTTTTATTCTATTATTGATTTAATTGGTCAATTTTGAGAAACGAGATAATTATTAAATGAATAAAAAAACGTTTTTGATTATATTAATGATCCTGTCACTCCCACAACTGATACGAAATTGATGATAATTCATGTGTAGAAATGCGTCAAAAGGTTTATAACGCTATCTCAGAAGTCTACACAAGATGGTATCAACAAATACATAAAACTCTGTTGCCCTAAAAAATCTAAAAATCAAATATACCATCTTTGTCCGCCTTCAAGTTTCCAATAAAAGTTAAATTAAACTGGTCAGTCTATGGATAGGTGACCATTCTTAACACGGTGAAACCCCGCCGTGCCTCAGAGAGCATGTTCAGCCGTCGGTCCCGATTGCCATATGAGCTTCTGTGGCAATCGTTAGGGGTAGCTGGAGCCCTAACAAGTCCTACAACAGTATTTCTACAGAACTTCGATATCGACTAGTACTTGGATTGTGGAGGTCTGAGGGCAGATACTCCGCGTACAAATCGAAATTCAGCCGTATCGTAGTAGACTTAGAACCTAGTTTGGGAAAAAGTCTATGCTTAACTTTCCTACTCGGTAACCACTAAGCCACGAGCCCCTTCCTTTTCGCCCCTCCACCCCGAAGAATACAATTCATTATAATGTAGGCGTATTGAAGTCACTGATACTTTGTTTCAAAGTTAATTGTAATTTTAAGTAGGTATACTTACCAAAGACTTGTTGTCATTAGATTGGTGTGGCATCTAAGCTATCCAATACAGATACTACCGGTAGACGTTGTTCGAAACTAAAACCCAAAGTTCTTTAATTTACTCTAAATAAATACACTGCCTATAAATAGCGCTATGTCAGTTTATATTTACATACTAACATATGTTTATTAACTTAAAATTATGTAATTTACATTTATGACAGAAATGTCTCCAATAGTATAGTATAATAAAATGTCATAACATGAATCCT